TTTTGTTGAACCCAACAACATTCGTCATGCAAAAATAGCAGTCCGTCACATGATTCGAAGGCTCACGCCAAATTATGGGCACGCCAAATGGCATATTTTTCACTTTACCTTTAAACCACTTGCCAAGAGTTACTTCGCAAAGGTTACAAATAGCATGAGGCGCCCATGCTTTGTCCTGGTCTCCTAGTTTACATCCAAAGTATGCATGATAATATTTCTTTGTTAAATGTGATATTTTCGTCTTCTCAGCCACTGTGCAAAATTGTCTACAAACATAAAAAACTGTCTGCTGAATTTGTACAATTTCTTGGCATTGTGAAACTTTTTTTGAAATTAAAATTTGAAACACACAAATAACAGGAATAAAATATTTAATTAAACTTCTATTCAAACATAAACTGATGATAAAAGCCGCTTATGATAAGCATAAAATTTGTAAACATTTTGTAAAAATTTGTGGTTTTATCAAAAACCTGACGTTATACAAAAAAAAATGCATCAAAATTTATAATTTTTAATAAGCTTTCAGAAATTTATAATGTTTTACTTGCAGTTTTTTTTCATGTAAACCAGCGTAATCAATTTAAAGACTGAATAAGATCACACATCTTAAGGACTTTAGATAAAAAGTAGAGTATGCTTTAATTTGAAGTAGTATGTTGGAAATAAATTAACTTTAGAGCTTTATATTGGAGATAAGTTAGTCTTGCAAGCTGCTTTAGTATCCCCAAACTTGACTAGCTTATCTGAGATCTGAGATAACTGTGAAAAATAGCATGATACATATAAAGCAAAGTTTTATGATTAACTTGATGACAAATTTTTGCTAACATGTCGATCAATCTGTTTAATTTCAATGCTAAGTCTTGAAGATGCAATACAAAAAATAAATTAGTGTCTAATTTTATTCCAAGATATTTAATAGAGTTAACTGGACTTATTTTCTGCCCACTTAATCTTAAATTTAATTGCTTATTTATTTTTGTTTGACAGATTTAAATATAATAATTTCAATGTTTTTTTAGAGTTAAGGGATAAATTAGTGGAAAGGAACCATTAAACGATATTAGCTAGATTGTATTTAATATTTCTTTAAAGGTTTTTTAAATGATTTATTAATTAGGAGCAATTTGATGTTATCTGCAAAGTGATACACAGTTGAAAATTTAAGTGAAACATTTATATCATTGATAAAAATATGAAAAAGTAATGGTCCTAAAACTTGTTACATAAAATAATCACCTGGTTACTTAAAATAACCTCCCAATTACTTTAATCTCCCTTTTACTTAAAATAACCTCCCTATTACTTTAATCTCCCTTTTACTTAAAATATCCTCCCTATTACTTTAATCTCCCTTTTACTTAAAATAATCTCCCTACTCCCTTTTACTTAAAATAATCTCCCAATTACTTTAATCTCTCTTTTACTTAAAATAATCTTCTTGTTACTTTAAGGGGGAAACTCCCTCTAAAATCATCAAAAAAACAAAAATTTAGTACGACCGTTTTTAGACATAAAAATTACCATAGATTTCATTTATGTAATTTGTTTTTCATAAAAATCATTCTAAAGTGCAGAAATTTTAAGTTTTTTAATGGTAAGTTGATGTTTCGTTATATCGAAAGTGTAATTTTTTTGTCGTATTTAAAAAAAAAAAAAAAAAAAGCTTATGTGAAATCCTAACTTTGGTTAGGGTGCTTCATTCTATTATACTTCTTGTTTAGCTAAGCAAAAGTAAGCGAGATTAAGAGACAAAAACAAACTTTATTTAATTTAACAAGAATGCCAAAAAGTTGTAGAGTAAAACGTCGAACTATTATTGTTATGAAAAAGTATAGATCTTTTCCAGTTAAAAAATCATTGTTTTATGAAGAAGAAGAGTTGTTGTTGATAGTGTAAATAAAGAATCTACTCCAATTGTAAATATTTTAATTAATAATGACACTGTGATTCACTGTCTGACTGACGTTTCTGATAGTATTGTAAATATTTCAGCACCACATTCAAAAATACGACAAATTGATGTAATTGAATTTTGCACTCTACTGTCTGGATATAGAATTATAGATATAGAAGTGTTATTTGTTATTTTTAAAGAACTCTTTTGTCCAATGTGCTTCAATGAAGACTCTCTTGTGTTGTCTGACAACTCAAAAGATCGACATGGACTTGCTCCTTTTTAGTTTTAAAATGTTCAAATTGTTTATTTTTTAAAAATATTTGTACTATAAAAAAAAGTGGTAAGCAGGGATACGACATAAATAAACGAGTTATTTAGACAATGTGGTCATTGGGTCAATGTCACGCTGGACTTGAAAACTTCACTTCTTTTATGAATATTCCTCCGCCAATGACTACAAATAACTAAGACAAGCTTGCTAAAAAATCTCTAAAGTTGTGAAAAAAGTAGCAATAAAGACTATGTGTGATGCTACTGCGGAAATCAGACACGATTCGAATACTGATATTGTTGATACTGGTGTTTCATGTGATAAAAACGTATAGGTACAAGATTAAGAAGTTGAAAAAAAAAAATAAAAACCTTGGTGGTAGAGGTAAATTAACAGATGCAACAGTTGATCGGTTGCAAAGTTATTTTGGTATTTCAATAAGAGCTAATGTATTGTAATAAGATTTAGCATCTATGAAACCTGGTACTCTGGCATCACTTTATTATGTTGCCTCCAACAAGGAGAATAATCTACATTTTTCACATTGCCCAGTAGGAGCTGATAATTGGTGCAAATATAATTCAGGTAAAGCCAATGGTGCAACTTAAAAGAAACTTATAAACCTGGACCAGGTTTACCAATAGCTATTGTTTATAAAATCAAACCAATCTTTGCAGAACTCAGTGCTGACCAACATTTATAAAAGTGCTTACATGGTAAGACACAAAATACTAATGAAATTTTTAATGGCACTATCTGGGAACGTTTACCTAAAATGAAATTTATATAATTCAGTCAATTAGAATTTGAAGTTAATGACGCAGTGGCTAATTTTAACATTGGTCGAAAAGCCTCGATTTTAGTTTATGAATTTTTCGAAATAATTCCAGGAGTATATACTCTTAAAGGTTGTAAAAATTTAAACTAAAAACGACTATCACGTTCCAAATACATAAATATTGATAAAAACAAGTTGCGACAAAAAATTATTTATGGCAAAAAACATGATAAAAATGATAATGAAAAAGAAAAAGAAGGGAAGTTGTATAAAGCAGGAGGTTTCTAATACTTTTTATTAGATATTTTAACTATAATATGTGTTTTACTTAAAGTTTCAAAGTTTTATATGCTAATTTTTTTTTCTTTTTGCGTTTTCTCAAAATAGTCTTTTTTCATACGCCGGCCGTTTTATCTCAAGAACCGTTTTACCAATTTTGATGAAATTTTCTGAAGTTGTTTCTATGATTATAAACTGTGGTTTAATAGAAACAGTTTTTTAAATTGAGGTTTAAATTTTTTTATTTTTAATATTTTGAATAAAAAATATTTTCGCCATCTTTAAATGTGCACCCATCGCTCAGATTTTTAGTTACAGAAAAATGCCGCTATTAAAACACCCTTTGACCTTTTGTGAAGCATTTGGTGAAAGCTTTTTAAGAGATCTTGCACGGTTATTTAGTTTTTATGGCCGGTGTGAATGCATTTTTTGCCCATTTTTATGTGTTTTTTGTGGTTACTATGGCAACCAAAAACCATTTTGTATTTTTTTCAAGGACTTTGTTTATTCATATTATATTGATGTTTTATATTCTTGATTTTGTTTAAAATGTTTAATACTTCTGTTTAGGGGGGGCTTCCCCCTTAAAAGAATTATTCATATTTTTTTTTAATTATTTACACAAAAGATCAAAATTCAAATTTTATTTAATTAATATGATGACATATTCATATAACAAAAAATACAATTAAGAGTAAAAAAAAAATACGGATAATTATTTCAATAATAAAAAGGCAACAACAAGTAACTTTCATTTTTAATAGCTCCAATTTCACAGCCACTTTTTCCACCTGTATTTTTTCAGAAATGAAATTTCGTCTTTAAAATAATCTGTCACTACAAAAGGAAGAAGACAGTACATTTGTATATACCTTTAATATATCTGATAAACTTTTCGTTAGATAATGAAATGAGCAGATCTAAATACTGAAATGCTTACTTTTGCCCACTATACAATATTTTACCTGAGGCAAAGAGAAGGATTCGCTGTTGCCCTAAAATATAGACAGCAACAGATTACTCTGCTACAGTCATATTTTATGATTTTCTGATGATACTATGTTGCGACTGCTGAAAGTACAATACAGTGTTGATTTGTTAGTCTTTGGTTAACCTTCATACATAGTTGGAAGGTTATTAGGAAATTCAAGAAATAAGTAAATAAAAGTAATTAACTAATTTCTTGAGTTTTATTCAAGGTTGTGTTCACGTTCAAAGACAAATAAAAACTTTTTATGGCGCTTTACATGCTTATCAAATCCTGTGATTAGACACTTATTTTGTATATAATGTAATGAATCCTGCATAGTTTTAACATTTCACTAATTCGGAAGAAAATCGTCATTCAATACAAAATAAGATTTTTTTTTACAGGAAAACTTCTTTATCAAACCATGGGGTGGGGTACCCTAATCTAAACGAGGACGCCTCCAACCCTCTAGCCACGGCACTGATTTACACTAACCAATTCATGAAACCTAAATAGGCAAAACTTACCAATTCATGAAACCTAAACAGGCGGAAAAAAAAAAAAAAAACGAGTGCAAATAGTTTAATTCAGTTAATCGTAATACTATGGTTTAGTTTAAATTCAAAAAATTGTATTTTTGAAAATATAGTTAAACGCTTCTGCAAATTTTTGAACATTATAATCTTTTGTTATTGAAAGAAGCTCTTGCGATTACATCAATAACTAATTTTTAAAACAAACTGTATTTTTTGTTTAATGACTAAAGAAACAGTTTGCACAATTTAAAGAAAAATATATATAAGCATTATAAAAATCATGTTACATTAATAATAAAGTTATTATACAGTTGCACTCATACTAAAATTAAAAAAAAACATTGTTAAAATTTTACAAAAATACAACTCATCAAGTTGAAGTCAAAACTTAGAAATATAAAATGTTAAAACTAAAATATATAATATAAAATAATAATAAAATATATAAAAATTCAAGAATATTAACAACTATAGAAAAACTTCGGAAAATTTAAAGTGGTATCATAATCTTTAAGTCTATTATTAAAAAATACAAAAAAGAATATTGGAAAAACATTTGGTTCTGTCTCTAAAACATGACGTGTAAGAAGTATGATTTATTAAAAAACTGAAAAATTGATTGTTAAACTTTTATATAAAAACAAATAAAAAAAAAGAACCCATTGATCATGCTTGTGTGAACCAAAGTAAAAATATTTCAAGATACACAAAAGTCAAAGTTAAAAAAAAATATTTATCTGAAAACGGTTAAAAAATACTTAAAAAATAAAAATCATGATTATGTTCTAAAGTCACATCTTAACAGTATCTAGGCCAAATAATTTGTCGTACTGATGTGATTCAAAACTGCTGAAATTCGCATAATTTTGATACGCTTTATTTAGAGAACCATTTCTTGTATCACATATCTTATCGGCTTTAGGAATATTATCAATTGAAGCGTATATATGTTCAACCTTTTGATCAATTTCATAGAAATTATCCTGATTTATTTTTGGAAAGTTATTTTTAGGTTTTTCGCCATCAAAGCAATTTGATTCGTTGTCAATAGTTACATTCTAAAGTAAAATAATTGGCAACTATAACCAAGTGATAATAAATTAACATAATTAACATTTATTAATATACTCTACTTATTTTTTTAAATATTTTTTTAATTTGCAAAAAGACAATTTAAAGACTATTACACATTAAATTTCTAGATTATTTATGTTAATCATTTAATATTATGTTAATTAATTTTTTAGTATGTTCAAGAATATTTATGTTAAAAATATTAGACTGTGAAACATAATTTTTGCAACTTATAAGAAAAAGTTAGGTGATTTTATATATATTAAGGCTGCTGATTTCAAATATGTAGTCGAAATATTTCTAGCACATCAGGATTTTGAGTTATCACATTACAACTTTTACAATGCATTATGTTTTTGCCATGCAACAAATCATCGTGTTGCCATTTGTCATACAGCTACTTTTAGATCTGAATTTACAGTTTCCCACTTTAGATGGATCTGAATTTACAGTTTCCCACTTTAGATGGATCTGAATTTGCTCTCACAGCACATTTTGGTTGAGAATAATATCGGAATCTGCCGACGCATTGGCTAATGATGAAGACCTATGTATAGTAGCTGATATCAGCTACTATAGTTACTACTAGTAGCAGAGAGAATAATTTAAAAAAAAAATAGTGTAATCAAAGAATAAATTTTGAAGTAATTCATTTCTATCAATCGAAATTCTGTCCTTAATAGCTAAATAAAATTGATGTTTAGTAAATTTTATACTCAAAAGTAAAAGAAAAATGATATTAATATAAAAGCAAATATATATATATATATATATATATATATATATATATATATATATATATATATATATATATATATATATATATATATATATATATATATATATAATGCCGTGGCCTGTAGGTCGGAGGCCCCCATTCCCCTAAAATCTGCCATTATTCACATTAAAAAGCTTTGTTCAGAAAAAACTCTCAAAACATAAAAATTGAAGTTAAATTACGTCGTATTACCCTTTACGTCGCTAATTTTTTTTTTTAATAAGCTTTTTAAAACAACATTATTTCAAAATGGGGCAAGTTGGGTCAGCTAACTTTTCTAGTTTCTTATAGAATGATACAAATTTTCTTTTAAAAAAAGAATCAGCTTTGTGAAGCAAGTCGAAAATAAAAAAGTCCTAGTTCCATAACAATCAGTTTAAATTCGTTAAAATTGCACTTTTTAAATGCATTTCTTTCAACATAAAAATACATATTTAAATATTTTTATAAACTAAGATAGAATTACACTGGTTTTTGAAGTTTTTTATTATTTTTTTTTGGTTTTTAAGGATAACAATAATATAATTCAAAATATATGTAAAATAATATAAGTGAGATTTAGTTTATTTTGATGCTGCAATGAGTGATTTAGAACCAACAAAAAGTGGTGCAATATATGCACTTTATAAATTTACTTTAATTTACACACATTTATGTCAATGTTTACATAAAATAAAGGTTTTATGATAAAATGTTTAAAAATTCGTTTTTTTTGGGGTGGATACACACTTTTACTACTCAAAAAACTGTATTTTGCCCAAATTTAAATCACTGTGGTTTGGTCAAATTCGCTTATAATGCTTACATTAGCTTGGAGACCTAGACAAGAAATGAATACCACACATTACTTGTGTGTCATACTACTTGAATTTGGCGCAGTGGCAAAGGGCAAAAGAAGTTTGTAATTTGCAATTCCTATGGTTCGGAGAGAACCAAAAGACCATAGCATAGCACAGTGCACATAGCACAGATTGCTATTTTTGCATGACAAAAACAGCAGGATTTTCCATTAAGAACAAAGAGAAGATTAAATATCCTAAAGTACTTTCTGCGATTAGGGCTGTCTCTCACAACAACACCAATTCTTGTGACGATTCTAGTGACATTAACATTGTAGAATGTTAATGATGAATCTATTCTTTCCTCTCATGAAAGTGATGACAACTTTGATGCACCTGAAAATAGTAAACCTCATCTCATTGAACAAACTGAAACACAAGGATATAGTATGGGATTTGAATTTACCGAGGGATAAAGTAGAGCTACTTGTATATTGCCTTCAACTGTGGAATCTCTTGTCAAAGGGCACAAAGGTAACTGTTTACAGAAAACAAAATTTGAATCTTTCACAATTCTTTTAAAGAGGTCTCACCTCAAAACAGGACAAGTAATCTTACTACAAAGATATAGAAGGTGTTATAGGCTATCGTTACAAAGCTCATGAATGGCGTCTATTCATAGATGCCTCAAAGACAAGTTCGTTACAAGAAAATATTAAAACAGTGACTAGCTAATTTAGCAAAAGAAACATCAACTTTCTGAGTATAGCTTGTTGGACTAAATTTTCAGACTAGATTAACTTCACTTCTTGATATGTTAAAGACATTTGAAAGGTATACCTGTAATCAGAACATTGCTGACTGGGGCCTTGGTAGAATCTGCAAACAAGTATTTTCTTTTTCCTAGATATTTACAACATATGAAACAAACTAATTTAATTACGAATAGTATACCAGGCAAAGCTTGGTAATATGGTTTCATCAAACATTGGAAGTATAGATTAGGTAAGAAAACTGAAGATAAAACTGCAACACTAAGAGCAGCTTCTTTTATTGAAGATAATAAAAATAAATATTTCAATACATGCAAGATTTAATTTTTTTGAAGCAAACATCGATGATTACTCTATGTCTAATGTCTAGAATTTTGATGAAATCAATCATGACAAGATTTATCAAATAATTCTCTGCAAACCCGGTTTCAAGCGCCTTCTTAAAGTAACAAGAAATAAAATAGAAAAATAAATTAGCGCTAAAAGTCTAGCACAAATTTTTTTTATTGGCGCTAAGTATAAGTTGTTTGTTACATCAACTCAGTAAATTTATCTAAAAATTAATTTATCTAAAAATTGTCTAAAACATTTGAATAAAATTGCAACAAAAAAAACAAAACAAATAATTTACATGCAAAAATTTAAAATGTCATAGTTGTATTTTGCATGCTTAACAAAAAAATACACGTTTAACAATGAGTTCTCTTGTACCAAAAAATGTAGAGTCTGGTATTTTTTACTTCACACCCTCATCTTTGTAAATAATTGAGTATTTAATCTATTTAATTGCTCTATTTCTAATAACTGTATAAATTTAATTGTTTGGTTAATTAACATGTTTATTTTAAAAAACAGTCGTAGTATAATTAAACATTATTTAAAACGTTTAATGCTTCAAAGTTGTAAAATAAAATTTATTTTTGTAGAGTCAATGTTTCCTAATATATCTGTATTAGGAAATATTCATTAAGATCAACTATTACTTTATTAATTTATGTAAATTTCAAAAAATTCATAAACAATACTTTAACTAATAATATAAATGTTTACTAAAAGTAACTTACACCACCACTATTTTCAGTAACTTCGAAATTATTGTAAATCACAACTGGAATCTTTAAAAATATATTAAAGTAATATTTTAAAAACAAATTTTGTTTAAATATTTAAATACAATATTAGTAAATTTAATAAATGATTAAATAGCTGTAACTTTTTTCAACTGTAAAGGTTTTTTATCATAATTACTTGATGAAAAGCTTTAAGGCTGCTTCACTTTTGTCTTCAAATTAAAAATTCTTTGAAAAAAAAAAAAGATGATTAACTAAAAAAATTTTTTAAAAACTTTTCAGAAAATGTGAAATAGGAACTTTGTACAAGAAAATGTGAACCTTGTACAAGAACTCTGGTTTAAGATAGGGACATGATACAGATAATCAAAATATTTACAGGAATTGATAAAGCTTTATCATCAATTCAACATTACTTAAAAATCTAGATACTAGATGTGACACATATGACAGGCAGATTATATAATATGACAGAGAGATTATGTATATTTTATCTATATAATATAATTGCATCACAATGAAATTCTTTTTAGAAGCCAAACATTGAAGATACGCAACATAAGTAAAAAATAACAGATAGAAAAAAAAGAGCCAATAAAACTTAAAAAGACATAAACACAAAGTTTGCTGATGCTTCTTCAGATAAAGTCAGGTCAGGTTTAGGACCATTGTGATCACCCTGCAACTGGTAACATGTAATCCACAACAACTAGCCTTATGTCCTACTTCTTTGTAGGTTTCACTTTTATAACAAAAGAGTTGAAGAAGTTAACTCTGACTTTAAATATCCCATGTTTTAAAGGTCTTAGTTAATTACAGGTTATCAATGGTGTGTCAATGCAATTACTTATCTTAGACAGATGTTAATGCATCCAGCTACTGTCTTCTACAAGACCTCCTAAGTAAATTCATTTGGATTAAGAAGAAAATCTTTATTAACCTGTCTCACAACCCTTGTGCTGGACTTTATAATCATGGGTTGTTGCTTGTGCCTCTTTGGTATTGGTCACAAGTATCTTTTGAGTACAGTTCTAAAACTCTTATCTCCTTGGTACAGTTTTAAAACTCAGTTTTTGACTTTAAGGCCACCTTTCACTTTCACCTTTCACCTTTGTCCATTTATGCTTTAAAACTTTTTTCATATAGTTTCTTCTATTGCACATCAATGCTTTGACTCTCTTATCTTTGTGTTTTCCCTAATACAATAAAGAGTTTGCAAGTTTTCTGTCAACCTTTATTTTTCTCTTCTTAATAATATTCTTTTGAGTTCTGGTAATTACAAACTTAAATAGTGGTAGTTTGCAGTGTTGATTGGGTGTTCAATTCCTTTAATTTGTTGTGTGGTATGAGAAAGAAAAAAAGAGGTAGATAAAAAGATAAAAGAAAAAGGTTTAACATCAGAAATCTTAGTGGTAAAATATTGAAAATAAAAATTGTATTTTTTCTAACATCCAAAACAAAAGAGTTGAAACATTTACTTTAGTCAATTTCAAAGCGTGTTTAAAAAAAGAGGGAAAATAAATCAAATTTTTATTTCAAATTTCAACTGGAAGTAATTTATCATTCAAAAATAATTTTTTCTATGAAAAGAATAAATACAGCTATTTAATAGGCATAAATATTTAATATTATATAAATATTTAATACATAATAATTATTACTATAAAAATATGAAATTAAAATATGAATTTAAAATATAAATAATATTAAAATAATATGCAATATGAAATTAAATTTTTGATATGAAAAGTTTAATAAAAGTTTAAATGCAAAAATACACATTTTTCTTAAGAAATATATTTCTTGTTTTAAGATATAAATTTTCTACCCTGCAACTCATTACTCAAAAACTTATCTATCCTGAAACTTATATGCGGTAGTGGTGTAGTAGTAGAGTGCTCACCTCATAAGCAAAAAGTTCCTAGTTGGATCCCCACCACGCCCCTGATAGCACCACGCCTAACTTGTTTATCTGCGCAGCTGCCTTGTTTGTCAAGGTTAGCTAGAGTTATAGAGTTAAAAAAAAGTTGTAACCACAAATAAAGTAGCCTCCTCGACTGTAGTGGCTTTCATGGCATTTGGGAGGTACAAAAAAAAAACTTATTACTCAAAACATTATTTTGATGGTTTTAAGAATCAAATTTCCCACAATTTATTTCACAATTTTTTTCTGTAAGCACTACTATTACTGCATCACATATTAACAACAACTTTAACAAACTTTAATGCACACATCAAATACTTTTACTGTTACACAATAAAAACAGTGTCGTTAATTTACATAGCAAATCTAGAAAGGAACTTTATCTTTTGTGTTTTAAATAATTATTAATTTGCAAAAATTTTGTTTTTGTATTGTTTAGAAAGTTACTTAAGATTATAATTAAGTTTAATATTAGTTGCATCATTTTAATAACAATTTTATTGAAAACATTTTTAGCCCCTTCAAAGGTTTAAGTTTTTTTATTTATCATATATATATATATATATATATATATATATATATATATATATATATATATATATATATATATATATATATATATATATATATATATATATATATATATATATATATATATATATATATATATATATATATATATATATATATATATATATATATATATATAAATATATATATATATATATATATATATATATATATATATATATATATATATATATATATACAAATAGTATTGCATACTAAGGTAAGCATTCTGACATCATACTGAAATAGGCTGCTGCTGGGGGCTTCAGTACATACATTGACTGACAAATAGCCTGACTCGCAGTGGAGTGCTGCTACATCGACTGAGGGTTTGGGATGGGGCAGCAATCTTTTCAATCATCATTCTTTGTTTTTTTTCTTCTTTTTCTAAAAAAGTCGTATGGGTTAAGGTAAGCAAAAAAAGTGAGCAAATGCTTATAAAAATACACTTTAGTAACTGTATATATATATATATATATATATATATATATATATATATATATATATATATAATATATATATATATATATATATATATATCCAGACAGCAAGCTTACATTGGCCCAACGTAAGTTTTAACATTGGCAAGTTTATTCCGTTGGGCCAACATTTAGCCAATGTTTTTTTCGATGTATTATTTTTAATTCTGCAAATCAGTTTTTTGTAAATATCATACTATATTGGGCCAACATTTAGCCAATGTTTTTTTTTCGGCGTATTATTGCAATTCTACAAATCGGTTATTTGCAATTATTGTACTACGTTGGCCCAACATTTGGCCAATGTAGTTTAGGCTAAATATTTTGCTATAAAAATCTGTTCCTACATTTATGCTGTAGCCATAATTCGGCCAATGTAGTTGCGGATTAGTATATATTTTTAAATTTGTTGCAAAACATTTTTAAAAATGGTATCGTTTGACAGAATAAAAAAAGGTTTTGATATTTTTTTTCCGTTTTTTTTAAATTATAAAAATAAAAAAAAAGAAGGTATATTTATGAATCTTCTAAGAATTTTAAAAGGTTCCTTATAAGAAATAAATTTCAAGAGATTCTTGTGACTTAATGTTTTGTTTTTTTAAATAATGAAATATTTGTTAACATTTAAATAATATGCTTAAAATATTTTTTACTACAATCTAGATTATTAATGTAACAATAAAGGCAATAATCAAATTATTTTTGTGTAAGATCTTAAAGTTATTTTTTTATTTTTATTGGAGTTTTGGCATTTCAAATGTTTGATTTATTTAATAATCTTTATTAAATAAATGTAACATTTCAAATGTTCAATTTATTTGATAAAGAAGACATTTTAAATGTCTTCTTTATTAAATATATCAAACATTTGAAATGTCATACAGTATAAGTATTGAAAAAAAATTTATTTATAATAGTTTAGATTATATAGCTATTATAAGATATATTATTAAAGGTATCAATAATATATATGTGGCATTGAAGTTGTTAGAAGCTGATATTTTACATTTTAAGTGTCTCTTTTGTTTGATTTTTTCTGTGTTTAATTGTGAAACCTCATCTACTAACATATAAACAGTGTACAAAAAGTGGTGTTATTTGAATTTATATTCTACTTATGTAGAGCTTTCTAATATTGCCAGACATTTTATTTTAAGACCAATGACTAGTCTATAATAATTGATTGAATTATGAGACTAAATCAATAAATAATCATTAAAAACAATTAAAATAAAAAGACTCAATTTAAATTGTTATTTTTATTTGTCTGATTTAAATCATGATTTAAATTGAAACAACCCTTTATGTATTTTTATCTTTCTGAGGCAGCGGGACATTATTCTCAGTTTTATTTTTTTTTAATTTAATATCTCTGGTTATTTTTCATAATTAGTTTGCATACAACAGTTAACAACTTTAAGCTTATACATTAACTTTAGTTTTAACTTAATTATTAATGATTTGATTTATAGATTTTTATAGCAATACAAGATTGAATTTAGCAGAAGGCTAAGCTTCTGCTCTGGAGACAAAAAAGGAAGGCAGCAAAAATGACCAGTCAAAATAAAGATTAAAGAGACAAAAAATTGTGTATATCTTGATGTAGATGATTTATCCTCAATTTCTTATAAAACAAAAAATATTATTAAACTTTGGGATTTACTTGTAACTCCAAACTCTTTACAGAAGTTCAATGTTTGCTCTGAGAAGTCGAATGAACAAAATTTATTAAATGGTAAGTTTTTATATAAAAGTCTTCATGCCTTATAATTAAAAATTTTTATTCATAGATTTAACTTTTACAGTTTTTACAAAGCTTTTATAATTTTTATAATTTAATCAATTAGCTTTTATAATTTTTTTATAATAAAATAATTAGCTTTTATAATTTTAAAGACTTTTTCATATATTACGGTCAAAAATTCAGAGTGTTAATATTTTATTGTATAATAATCAACATATCAAAGGTTACACCACAGGCTTGGTCAGGAAACAGGAGCATCGCTCTTGAAAACTGACCACCAAAATTATATTTAGTTGCGAAAAACTGGCCAGGTTTTTTAGTAACAAAA